AGCGCTCCAGTTAGCGTAAGGTTTTTAGCCTTCGAGCGCTAACTACGGCCAACGAGGACTACGAAGCATCCTGTGGCTGGCTTATAAGTTCATTGCATGACATCAGCTGAGCAACGCTGTCTTGGGTGGCGATCGAGGGGAGGTCGAGTTAGAGACAGTGAGATAGTGGAAAGAAAAGCCACCGGGTCAAGGAAGTATCTGTTATTGTTTGATTCAGACGCAGCATGAACGTTGCATTGCTAAAATGGCTACAAAACGGACCTTTAGATGTCAAGCAGCTAAGACAACTGACGCTGGAAGAGAGGGTAAAAGTGATCAAAATGAAAGACGGAGGAAGCAAAACACAAGACATTATCCAAGAAATTGATGTAAGTGAAAGTGAATGCTGATCGTAAATTTCGCAATTTCTTTCCCTTTTTTTCTTTCTACACTAACTATATGAAGTGTCAAATAAGTGTGTGCTCATACTTATGCACTATTGGAATAAAAATAAAGAGTACACAAACGATTGTGTGTGTGTGTACACATACGCTTGTGTGTGTGTGTTTGTGTGTTCATATCTGAGATCAAATTTGCTACAGTGAAAGAGCCCCTGTTGTGAAAAATTTCTTGCTGCAAACATGATTTCGTTGGAGAGGAGTTTCACTGTAGTAGTTTTGTGGGTGTGCTTTTCCAAGTTTCCAAATACAATGTAAAGCACAATGGACACACATTTGGGATAAGTTAAATCAAACAAAACGTGGATGTTGGATTGCTCAAATGATCAGAGCAAATGTTTTTCTGTAATTTCATGTTTGTTTGCCTTTTCCACAAACACTTCCAATTCCAATCCCATCTTAGATCACATGCAACACGCCCAACAAAAGCATACATTAGCTGATTAGCAGGTTTGAAAGATTTGGAGTTTGTGATTCTTCTGTATGACATGAATTGATAATTGGGGTGGAGCCTACTGTTTTATAGATATTAAATATTTGATCTAACTAACTCAATGTCACCTCTCGATGCCTGCTACGAGTCATCTTGCATTCCTTAATGCCAAATTTAAGATAATAAAACGTTTTAAACCATTTATTTGATTTTTTTTTAATTTTCTACGATAATTCAATTCTATTACAATTATCCTAAATGTCTTTGGCGTAATGTAGCACTGTCTGATGTCTGAGTGTTTTTTTGTTTCTGTAAAACCCTTCACATTTGGTCAGTGATGTGATACTATATATTAACCCTTTCTTGCACCCTGCAACATGATAAGATGATAAGCTATCCACTGTAGTAACCGCTGTCCCTGAAAGGGTGAAGTTCTTTGGCCATAAGTTGAGTTGTGGTTTGGTGTTTTATTTGGCAGTGGAATTGGCTGCAGTTCTGCAGGGTCTCCTTGCTGTGGCAGTTTGCCCTCTGGCTCCTGCTCATTTTCCGGCTGAAATTTGTCTTCCTATTGCTGACAACTTGTATATCAGGAGTGGCCAATGAGTCAATCGCAAGGTGTTCAAGGGGAGAAAATTGTTCTTGTGTGTTGTGCGCGTGCTATTATTATTCTTATTATTAGATATTTTATGTTAACTGTGTGCTATAGTTTGCGCACCCTATTACTTTCACATTCTTAAGTTTAAACTTAAGAACTTAAGGTCATACTGTTTGGTCCCAGTGGCCCTTGTACATCCCATCCTGTAGACTTGGGGCCCCTGTCTCCTTATCTTAAGTCAACAGTCTCAAACTTGGGTCTTAAACTGAACAGTGATTTTAAAGTTGACCGGCAAATTGCTGCCATTGTTAAATCCAGCTTCTTTCATCTTAGGCAGCTGGCTAAAGTAAAACCTCTCCCTTGTCATGAGCACCTTGAGACAGTAATTCATGCCTTCGTCACATCCCGGCTCGATTACTGCAATGCACTTTACTTTGGAGTCAGCCAATCCTCCATTACGCATCTCCAGCTGGTCCAGAATGCTGCTGCTCGCCTCTTGACTGGCACTTGTAAGAGGGAGCACATAACTCCTACTCTGGCATCCCTTCACTGGCTCCCTATACATTTTAGAGTTCTTTTCAATATCCTATTATTTGTTTTCAAATCTCTAAATGACCTCACGCCACCTTGGGGATGGACACTACCTGAGGGGTGAGACGACGATTTTATTAATTTTTATATATATAAAAAAAAAATATAAGGTGATAGTGAGGTGGTAGCGACTGTGCTAGGTCTTTACTGAATGCCTTTTTCAAATCATGATATTCTTTCGGGACCTTAGCAAAGATAATAGTTTCTATCGGGGGGATTGACGGCTCTTTTATTTTCCGGTTCGGCGGACTGTAAACAATGGGCATCGCAAAACAAACTCCAATTTTCCAATTATGGGTAGGCTTCAATTAATGTCGAGATTATGAGCCTTTAACTAAGGGAGACCTAAAACAATCAGAGTCGCATGGGGGTGGGGGG